CCTGGTTGTCGCCGTGGCGGGCTTTGTAGTTGGCGTTGGAGCCGCGGTTGCCGCCGTCGCGGCGGTCGCCGCGGTCGCCGCGGCGGTCGCCGTAGCCGCCGCGGCGGTCGCCGCGGTCGCCGCCGCGGCGGTCGCCGCCGTAGCCGCCGCGGCGGTCGCCGCGGTCGCCGCCGCGGTCGTTCCAGCGGCCGCCGCGGCCGCCGTCGCGGTCGCCCCAGCGGCGGCCCTGCTGGTCGCCGTCCTTGTAGCCGTGGCCGCCCGCGCGCGCGTCGAGGAGCCGCTCGTTCGACTCGACGAGCGCCGCGGCCTTGTCCGCGTAGTGGAGCGCCAGGGCCTGCAGGGGCGACGGCTCGAGGCGGTGGAGCACGATGGTCTCCGTGGGCTGGTCCCAGGCGCCCTTGAGCTCGCGGTTGATCATCATCTTCGACACGAGGCCGTGCGCGACGTTCTTCGGCAACTGGAACATGTCGCAGAGCTGGGGCAGGCTCAGCGCGTCGTAGGCCGACGAGTAGGCGAAGAGGTAGGTGCGCAGGGCCTCGGCCTTGATCTTGTCCTCGATCATGGCCTTGACGCGGTCGCCCTCGCCCGCGCCGGGCACCAAGGCCCAGACGTCGAGGCGGAGCACGAGGTCCGCGCACGTCTTCCAGTCGCCGACGCCCAGCGCCTTGGCCGCGCAGAGCACGTGGTCCCGCGTGTTCTCCGGCGGGCCCGTGAAGACCTGGCGGTTGAAGATGTCCAGGTGCTTGCGGAAGTGGCGCGAGATGGGCCGCTTGTGGCCGCCCGCGCCGCCCGCCTCGACGGACATGTTCGGCACCTCGAGGAGCATGGCCGCCGTCAGGTGGCAGCACTCCAACAAATCCAAATTGATGTGCATGTGGTAGGGCGTCTGGCGCCGCCGCTCCGCCTTCTCCTGCTCCGGGTTCTTGTCCGAGAACCGCGCCGACTGCATGCCCTGCGCCAACAGCTCCTTGACGCGCGACGAGCAGATCTCCGCGAGGCACGCGTGGGCGTCGTGGATGAGGCCGTTGCGGAAGGCGCAGAGGCCCAGCATGACCATGGACCGGTTGTAGAGGATCTGCGTCTCCACGTCCGACATGTACGCCGTGTCCTGGAGGTGCGACATGAGGAGCAGGTCGCGCGCGACGTAGAAGCGGCCGTGGAGCGCGTGGTGCGCGACGTGGCAGAGCAGCGCCCGCGTGCGGCAGCGGTCGTCGCCGTGGGCGTAGACGTACTCGCAGAGCTTGCGCACGGACGCGGACGCGTCGCCGACGACCTCGTCGTCGGGCGCCGTCGCCGCCGCCGTCGCCGCGCCGAGCCAGGCGCCCGGGTGCGACTTGGAGGAGTCGCGCTCGCTGGCGACGGACGCGTGGCGCGACGCCGCGTGGGCGTCGCCGCGGTTGCCCCACTTGGCGCGGTAGGCCTGCGCGTCGCGGACCGCGGACGCGATGGACTCGTGCTTGTAGTACATGTGCTCCACGCGGAGCAGCGCCACGGTCGCCGCGGCCTTGTCGTCGCCGACGCGCACGTAGTAGGCCTGGACGCCCGCGGCGAGGTCCGTGAGCGGCGCCTCGTCGCGGAGGCGCGACACGTACTCGTGCGTGTGCGGGTTGATGCGCTGGAGGCTCTTGACGTACTCGTCCTCGAGGCGCGCGAGGAAGGTGAGCAGGTTGCCCACGACCTTGACGGCGTCGGGGTCGTCGTTGGGCGCCGCCGCCGCCTCGGGCTTCTCGTCCTCCTCCTCCTCCTCGTCCTCGCCCTTCTTCTTCTTCGCGAGCGCGTGCGCGACGTGCATGTCGGCGAAGTCGTCGTCGTCGATGGACCCGAGGGAGACGCCGGGGTGGGCGCTGAGCACGGCGACGACGCGGCCGAGCTGGCCGTGGCAGGACCGCCACGTCGCGACGTCCATGTAGTCGTCGATGGTCCGGTTCGCGTCGAATTGCGCCGCGATGAGGTGCATGAGGGCCCCGAGCTCGCGCGCGTAGCCGAAGGACCGCTTCGCCTTGCCGGCGAGGGCCTCGAGGGCCGCGAGGAGCTCGCGCGCGTCCGTGCCCTTGCGGCCGCGCGACGCGACGACTTCCAGCAATTTCTTGTCGAAGGTCTCGCCGGACATGGGCTCGTCGAGCTTGAGCGCCGCGAGGGACGACTTGGCCTTGGACGCGAGGGACGCGGCGTCCTCGACCTTCTTCTCCTTCTTCTTCGGGTCGACCTTCTTCTCCTTCTTGACGCGCTTGGTGGTCACGACGGTCGTCTTGAGCCACTTCGCGCGGCCCTTGAGCGCGCCCGTCTCCTCCTCGGACTCGGACTCGGACGACTCGGACTCGGACGACGCCCAGTCGTCGCTGTCCATGTCCTCCAGGTTCTTCGCCTCCTTCTTGGGCTTCTCGGCCTTCTTCTCCTTCTCGGACTCGGACGCGTCCGAGTCGTCGTCGGAGTCGTCGTCGTCGGACGAGTCGTCGTCGGACGAGTCGTCGTCGCTCGAGCTGTCGTCGGACGACGCGGCGTCGTCCTCGGCGTCGGGCGCGTCGGGGTCCGCCTTGTACGCGGCGATCTGGGACTCGTAGGTCTTGTTGTGCTTGCGCAGCGTGAGCTTCATGCGGTTCAGGGACCGGCCGTTGGACGCGCTCATCTTCTTCTGGGCCTCCTTGTCCTTCAAGGCCTCGAAGAGGAAGTCCTCGAGCTCCGCGAGCGTGCGCACGTAGAACCGCGGCAGGCCCTCCTTCATGATGTGCATCTTCGCCTTGTCGACCATCTTGTTCAAGTTCTCGAACTCGGTCTGGATGCCGTTCCAGTCGCCGATCTTCTTGCTGTTGCCGATCTTCGCGATGACGGCCTTCATGCCGTCCCACGCGCGGTCCTTGGCCGACTTGACGACGCGCTCGCCCTCGTCCGACGACTCCGAGTCGCTCACCGTCGCCCAGCGGTTCGCCGTCTTCACCTTCTCCTCCTCGACGGAGGACGCGTCGGAGGCATCCTCGCTGCTGTCGTCGTCGGACCCGGCCCAGAAGCGCGACGAGGCCATCGTCGCCTACGAGAGCGTCGGCGTCGGCGTCGGCGCGCGCGGCCCCAGAGTCTCTCGTTCGCGCGGCAGTCGCGTCGTCGCAGCCGTCGGGCGCAGCTCCGGAGGGCGCAACAGCACCCGCGGGCGGCGGCGCGCGCCTCCGTCGTCGCGGCGCAGCGGCCGTCGGCGACGAGGAGGCTGCCGCGATGCGGTGAGCCGCCGCCGCCGCCGTTTCCCAGCGGTAGTCTCGTCGCGTTGCGCCCCTCTCTTTCCTCTCTCGTGATAGTCGGACGCCGCTATCCACGTTGACCAGCGAAGAGCTTAGTGCACCTCGCCCGCCCACCTCGGAGGACGCTCGCCCAAGCTTTTCAAGCCCGCGGCTCGCCGGCGATCTCATTGTCCGAGATCGTCGGAGCGTCAAGCTCAGGCTAGTCACCGTACCGCAGCCGCGAGGCCTGCCGCGTCGGCCCCACCGGAATCGTGGTCATGGCAGGTCATGCCTGCTTCCCCGGCGCGAAACACCGCCCTTCGGCGAATGGGCCTAAAAAAACTCAAGCCTACAACTCGGCCCCTGAGTTGCGACACTAGCAGGCATCCCGCGGCCACCGCCGGCATGATCTCGCCCTCGCCCTCGCACCACATGTCGCCGGCCTTGATGGCCTAGTCGATGTACAGCAGGAGGTGCGCCTTGACGCCGAGCTGGAGCACGCTCGACGCGACGTACGAGTAGAGCGCGTCGCCCGAGCTCGAGCCCTCGAAGTCTAACTCCCGCGGTCATCGCCTTGCCTTGCAGAGGTCGGCTCGATGTCGCCGTCCTAGAGCGCGTTCGTCGCCTCGAGCGCGCGTGCGACGTCCGAGGACGCGCGGCCGACGCGGAGCTCGTTGAGCAGGGACACGAAGGCAGAGTCGCGCTGGCGGAAGACCGCCGACAGGCATGCTGCGCGCGACCGCAGTTCGCCTCGCCGCCCAAGTCTCTCGACGTCGCGGTCGTGCCGGTGGCCTCGAGCGAGGTCGCGGCGCTGCTCGCGCGTTGCTTTGGGCCGCGGTGCGTCGTCGTCCGGCGTGGCCCCGCTTTCGACCCACGCCGAGGCAGCCCAGCACGGATGCACTCAAATTCAGCCAATCGCGAGGCGCCGTTTCCGTGATCGTGCCGTCGAGCCGCGCCCAGCCGAAGCTCGTCCTGTTGCTCGACGCGAGACACTCGGCTCTCACGCGCGCGCCCCAGCTCACGCGCAGCACCATGCTCACCGAAATCACGAACGGAGGCGACCGCGCTAAGCCGCGGCCCAAGCGCCGTGCCGCCGCGGTCGCTGCTGCCGATGCCGATGTGCAACAGCCGCCCGCGAAAGAGGGCCGCCGGTGCGACGACCCGAGCCGCCGCGGCGTCACGGCCGCCAGCCTCGCGCGGCTGTCTGCGCTGATGCTCGCGGCGTTCTACGTCGTCGTCGACGAGCTCGGGATCCCGCGGGAGGAGGTGAGCATACCGCGCGCCTCCGAGGTGATTGCGGCGGCAGCGGTGATGGCCATGAACTACGACCCCAAGAGCGGCAACAAGAAGGGCGACGGCCACACGCGCAAGACGAACCCCTGCGCGGGCTTCCAGCTCAAGGGGCTCTTCACGGCGCTCTACAAGGTCCACACGATCAACGCGCAGGCGGCCACGGCCGCGGCCGCGGCGGTCGTCGTGATCGACCGGATCCCGGTCGTGCTGGCGGTGAAGGCCTGCCAGGCCGCCGGCGGCCCGGACAAGCTCCTCGTGCAGCGCTACGGCGCGGACAACCTCAACCGCCTCCTCGAGGCCTACGACGCCTACCTCGTGGCGCTCCTCAACGAGAACGAGTTCGCGCGCGGGTCCCGCCCCGCCTTCTTCAGCGTCGGCGCCGAGCAGCCGGCCTTCGCCAAGCGCATCCTCGTCAAGCTCGGCGCTCCGTCCGGCCTCCTGCTCGGCCACTTCCTCCATCCCGACGCGTTCCTCCGCGCTTTCGGATTGAAGAAGCCCGCGGACATCGACAAGCTCATGAAGAACCCTCTCGCCGAGAAGTACAAGACGTTCAACGCGACGGAGGCGCTCTACGTGGACAGCGACTTGGCCGTCGACGCCTTCATGGGCCACCTCAAGCTCGCGACGTCGGGCCCGTCGTCGCTCTACTCCGGCTGCTACCGGCGCCTCGGCCCGGCCTTCAAGGTCCTCGGCGCGGCGCGGTCGGCGCGGTCCAAGGCGCTCTGGCAGGGCGATGACTCGCCCTGCCGGCAGGCGCGCACCGCCGGGTCCACCGCGCGTCGCGCGACCGTTCGTCGCGTTCGCGACCGCGACGTCGCAGGCGCAAGCGGCGGACAAGTACAAGTGGGGCGACGCCTCGGTCGACGGGCGCGCGAAGGCGCGCGCCGGCGTCCCCGGGGCCCGCGACCGCTCGCCGCGCCGGCGACCGCGCGACCGTTCGCCGCGTTCCCGACCGCGCCGTCGCAGGCGCTCGAGGAGGGCAGGCACGGCGGCAAGCCGTGGGGCGACGGCCCGGACGACCCGCACCGGAAGGCGCGCGCCGGCGTCCCCGGGGCGCGCGACCGCTCGCCGCGCCGGCGTCCGCCGCGCGTCGCGCGACCGTTCGTCGCGCGTTCGCGACCGCGCCGTCGCAGGCGGTCGCGGCGGGCAGCTACAGCCACCCGTGGGGCGACGCCGCGGTCGACGGGCGCGCGAAGGCGCGCGCCGGCGTCCCCGGGGCGCGCGACCGCTCGCTGCGCGGGCGTCTCCCGCGCGTCGCGCGCCGCGTACCCGACGGACCGCGCCGTCGCAGGCGAAGGCCGACGGGAAGTTCAGCAACTTCAAGTACGCGACGCCCGCGGAGGCGGCGGCTGCGAAGCGCGCGACGAGCGCTGCGAGAGATGCGAGGGTCCAGAGCGACGGGCGCGCGTGCTACCTGCCGGGCGGTTGCGACGGCTCGAGTGGCGGGTGCGAGATCCCCGAGGGCTACAAGGGCCGGCCGGCGCTGGTCAAGATGCTCAAGCAGTGCGAGACCTGCCGCCGCCGCGCCAAGGTCATCCTCGAGGCGCCGGATCCTCGCTCCCCGGACCTCATCCCGGCGGCCGAGAAATCGCCAGGGCCGTGGTTCTTCACGGCGCTGTCGCTCGCGAAGGCGGCGAACGACTGCCCCGTCATGGGGCAGTACAACGAGAGCCGCTACAAGTCGGCGGCGACGCTGGCCCGGGACAAGCGGCGGCTGGAGGGTAAGTAGGTCGCGCGCCTCCCAGTAGAGGTCGAAGTAGAGGTCGTCGTATTCCTGTAGTACTCCTCAACATCTCCTCGTTGAGCCGCCTCCTGGAGCTGCGGCTGCGTCGCGCGCGCCGTGCTCGTCGCCTCCTGCGGCTGCAACCATCGCGCAGCTTCTCGAAGAAGTCGAATTTCGACAAACCATCGCGCAGCTTCTCGAAGCGGTCGAACTTCGACGCCGGCTGGCACCCGGCGACGGTCGCCATCCACGGCGACGCCTGGGACGTGCCGACCCTAAGCAACATGTCCTTCGTCTCCTTCCCCGCCGCCGGCGCCGCCCAGCAGCAGCAGGCCAGCGCGCAAGCGCAAAAGGAGCTCGCCAAGGACGCGGACGTGCGCGACATCGAGATCGCGAACGCGCGGCTCCTCGACGCCATCGCGAGCGGCGACTACCTCACGTACTCGTGCCTCGTGAGCGACGACCTCACGTGCTTCGAGCCCGAGGGCTGCGGCCACCTCGTCCAGGGCATCGACTTCCACAAGTACTACTTCGACCTCGCGCGCGCGGACGACGCCGCCCCGCGAAAGAAGAACACGACGATGGTCGACCCGCACACGCGCGTCGTCGGCGACGTCGCCGTCGTCGCCTACGTGCGCCTCGTCCAGGACGGCTTCAGGACGACGCGCTGCGAGGAGACGCGGGTCTGGCGCCGCATGCCCGCGGGCGACTCGGCGCTGTCCAAGTGGCAGCTCGTCCACTTCCACCGGTCCGCGCCGGCGAACGGCCATAATTGAACCGGCGCGTTTACGTTAGATGGCACATCCCCGCGGCGGCGGGAAGGCGCGCCGCTTCGGGTGGGCCCCTAGGCCTCGACGACGACGCGGGCGTACGTGTCGTAGAGGTTCGTCGCCGCCGCGGTGTCGCCGGGGTAGACGACGGAGATTTTCGTGTTGTTCGTGTCGCCGGCGGTGACGACCTCGAACTGGCCGCCGGAGCCGCCGCCGGAGGCGACGAGGTAGACGCCGTCGCCGATGACGCGCGCGCCGCCCATGGCCTGGGCCTTGAAGCCGCACTGGGCCCACGTGTAGGCGACGCCGCCGAAGACGTCGTCGGACACGGGGACCTTCGGGTCCTCGGGGACGAGCTTGAGCTCGAACTCGAAGACGAAGGACGTGGCGCGGCCCTGGATGGAGTTGACGAAGAGCGTGATCGTCTCCTTGCCCTCGAGGCCGCCGGCCTTGGTCTTGGACGCGGGCGTGTACCAGACGTTGTGGACGCCGCCGGTCCACTGGCGCGCCGTCGCGGGCAGGCCGAAGCGGTGGAAGACGGCCGACGGCTTGCCGTCGACGTCAAACGACAGCTCGTCGTCGTCGCCGCTGCGGAAGGGCGACGTGCCGAAGCGCTGGAGGATCGCGTCCGCGCCGTCGGCGATCGCGTACGTCCACGGGTCCTTGACGACGAACGCCTCCTCGTAGAAGCGGTGCGTCAGCGCGAGGAGCGTGTTGCCCGCCTTGTCGGCGAAGCGCAGCACGCCGTTGCCGTGCCACTCCTCCGTGCCCGTGCCGTTGACGTACTGGAGCTTGTAGACGGACGAGTTGTAGTCGAACGTCTCCTCGCCGAGGCGCTTCTCGATGGACCAGTACGCGTCGCCGTCCTTCGTCGGGACCGCGGCCTTCGCCTGCACGTCGAGCTTGACGATGGAGTTGACCTTGGCGCCGGCGACGTGGGGGTCCTCGTACTGGACCTGGAGGAGCGCGTAGACCTTGCCGTCGTCGCCCTTGAAGACGTCGAACGTGTGCGTCGCGTAGGCCCAGCTCACGTTGTCCGGCGCGAACAAGCCCTTGTTGAGCGCGTTGAGGTCGACCTCGTCGGCGCTGCCGTCGGCCTGGTCGTAGACGCGGAGCGTGTCCGCGCAGCAGCCGCCGCCCGCGCCCTCGGTCGCGACCTTCTCCACGAGCACGTACATCTTGTCGTCGATCACCTTGGCGCTGAGCATGGCGCCGGAGCCGCCGCCGACGGAGAGGTCGAGGTGGCGCCAGGCGCCGATCTCGTTCGACCCGTCCGTGTCGTTGACGACGGCCATCCGCACGTCGTTGGCGTCGCTGACGTCCGCGGCGTAGTCGAGCTGGACCCACTCGACGGTCGGCTTGGTCTCGTGGGCGTCGGCGGCGGCGGGCACCATGGCGACGAACTCCTTCACGGCATCGGCCGCGAAGGGCAGGACGAGGAGGGCAAGGCGGAGCATGATTCTGCGAGGAGAGCGGGCGATCGGCTGGAAGGCTGCCAATCCCGACACTGGGGCTGCTTAATTTGGGACGTCAACATCGCGTCAAGATGACGCTAAAAACTAACTAAAAACTAAAAAGCATGGTGGCCCGGCGCCTGCTCGCCGTCACAACGGCGCTCCTCGTCGCCTACGCCGACGACGTCGCGCAGCAGCAGGAGGAGGACTTCCAGGCCATGAAGTGCAGCGCCTGCTGCTCCATCGTCGCCGAGCTCGAGCGGAATCTCGAGACCGAGAAACCGCGCATGAACGTCGACCTGCGCAACACGCTGTCCGGCGGCAAGCAGGGCAAGGTCGTCGACTACGCCGTGAGCGAACTACGGACCTTGGAAGTCCTCGAGGCCGTCTGCCCGGCGATGACGCACTACGGCGTCACGCGCATGGCCGACGGCAAGGGCTACTACCAGCGCCACTCCGTCGCCGCCGGCTCCGTGCACATCGCGGGGTCCATGACCATCGGCGGCGACCACTACACCTGGGACAAGCGCGCGCTCCGGAGCTACTGCGACGGCCTGCTGGAGGCCCACGAGGATACGCTGGGCGAGGCCATACGGAGCGCGGGGCTCGCGAACGTGCGGCGCCGCGAGGAGGCCAAGCGCGCGGCGGACGCGGACGCCGCGGGCGAGGCGCCCGCGGACCACCGCGCGGTGCTGGGCGTGGCGCCGGACGCGGCCGTGGACGAGATCAAGCGCGCCTACCGCCGGCTGTCGCGCGAGCTCCACCCGGACCGGACGGGCGGCGACCCGGGCGCGCTCCGCGACTTCGTCCGCGTCGCCGCGGCCCACGAGGCCCTGACGGGCGAGGCGCACCGGCCCTACGACGACCTCTACTCCGACGTGTGCCTGCGCATCGCCGGCGTCTGCGACGACGACGCGGACGTCGACGCGGCCAAGGAGTTCTTCCCCCGCTACGACGGCTCGTCCAAGTTCCCGCCGACGAAGAAGAACACGGGGCCGGACCACTACGACGACCTCACGGGCAAGAAGAAGAAGCGGCGGCGGAAGAAGGCGGCGAAGAAGGAGTTGTAAGAACCTCATGGTGTCCGTAGCCCGCTCGCGCGTGACGCCGTCGGCGAGTCGGCGACGCACGCGCCTTTTCGGCTGCATGCTGGGCACTTCGCAGACCTGGGTGGGTGACTAATGCTGACGTGTTTTGCGGCCCATCGCCGAGCACATCGCGACGCGTGCGGGCGACGCGTCCCCTGCCAGTGGTCGAATCGCCCGATTCGATTTCTTCCTCGCGCGTGCGTCTCGTGCCTCGAAGGCATGGCAGCCGCCAAACGCGCGATCTAGGATGCCATCATCGCCGTCGCGACACGCCGTGCTCCGCTCACCACGAATGCAACGCGCCATGCTGTGCTCCCTGTGGCTCCTGCCGCTGGCGCAGAGCTTCGTCACGAACGCACCTCCTCCAAAAGCGCACCGCCGAGCCACGCCGTCGGGCGTCGAGGAGAAGGAGACGCCCGAGCTCGACTGGCGCGCGTTCCGCGCCAAGCTCGAGGGCGCGGGCCTCGACGCCGCGGACCGCGAGGCCTGGGACCGCGACGCGTCGACGCGCGGCGGTTGGATCCACGCGCTGCCAGCGCCCGAGGCCGGCGGCTTGCTACTGGCCCTGCCGTTCTCGGCGACTCTCATCCACGCCGCGTCGCCCTGGCGCGACGACGTGCTCCGGTTCTCGACGCGGCGGCGCATGGCCGACGCGCGCGGCTCCGCGGACGGGCCCCGGCGGCCGTCGCGGCGCGGCCTCCGCGGCGACGCGCGGCGCTACGCGGATTCGGAGGCGCAGCGCATCGCGGCGACGCCCTTTGAGGACCGGACGGAGAAGGACCTGTGGTTCCTCGCGGACCGCGCGTCGGCCATCGAACGCGCGCGCGACGTCGTGCTCAGGGCAGGACAAGAGAGCGAAATTCCCAACTTCAAAGGCTCCTTTCTCGGCCGTTTTCCACTCGTTTCGGCTGATTTTTGGACGAGCGATCATCTCTCGGAACGGTCTCGAAGCGTGAATGCTTTTCCCGGAACGCGCGCGCGCGGAACACTCACGTTGAAGCGACGTTGAATATCTCTTGTCCTGCCCAGGTCGTGCTCGTGCTCTCCGCGGACGGCGACGGCGGCGGCGCGGGCCTGCGCCTCGGCCGCCAGGACAAGTGCGCGCCCTGGGGCAGCCGGCGGCGGAGCGCGGCGCTCTACGCGTTCCTCGAGGCCGACGACGGGGGCTTGGCGGACTTCCACGAGTTCCACGCGGCGTTCGGCTCCGACGTCGCCGTCTACATCGGCTCGCGCGGCGCCGGCGACAGCGACTGGGAGGGCATCAACTGGCAGGGCGAGGCGCTCCTCCTCCACGCGCGGCCGGGCCTCGCGGGCGCCGCGGAGCTGTCGCCGGGCTGCGGCATCTACCGCGGCGGCGCGGCCGCGGCCGCGAGCATGGTCGCGCGCGGCGACGCCGACGCGGCCGAGTTCGCGTTCTTCGTGGGCCGCTGCGACTTCGGCCCGGGCGAGCTCGCGCGCGCGGCCCGCGACGGCCTCTACCAGCCCGCGGCCTGCGCGGGCGGCCTCCTGCTCGGCGAGGCCAAGGTCGACGACGCGTCCATCTGGCGGGACCTCATGCGCGCGCTCGGCGGCGCGAGCGCGGACGTCGAGGCCCTCGTCCGCGGCGCCCGGCTCCCGCGCGCCGCCGACGACGGCGGGCCCGCGCGGCCCGACGAGCTCGAATTCGGGGACTCCTAAGATTCGACGGTCATCGCGAAGACCCCCGGCAAGTCCGGCAAGTCACGAGTCCCGGCACTGGCAGTCCCCCGCCGACGCCGACCCCTAGTTAGGAAAACATCACCTTGACCCCCGGCGGCGCCCATGCCCCTAGTTAGGAAAACATCACCTTGTAGATACCATATAAATCCTACGGACCGTCCTGAGGCGCTCCGCCCAGACGGCCCCAACGCGAGAAGACGAGCCCCGGGCCGCCCTGGAGCCGGTGAGTCGCCGTCCGGTCAGGTCGACGCTCCGGGCCTCGGGCCGGGCGCGGGCTTGATCTCGCCGCCGGGCACCCTCGCGTCCGAGGGGTACCGGCGGAGCCGCGTCGCCTGGGCGCCGCGCGCCGCCCCCGGCGGCGGCCTGAACGCCGCGGGGCGCGCGCCGCCGCGCGGCGAGTCCACGGCGCTCGAGGCCTTCTCCGCGGCGGCGCCCGCCATGGACCCGCGGAGCTCGCTCGTGCGGACCGAGGCCGACGGCAGCGTGCTCATGGCGGACGCGGACGGCCACAGCACGCACACGGCCGCGCGCGCGCTCATGATGCTGCAGATGGCCGTCGAGGAGATGGAGAGCCTGCCCCGGGACGCGCGGGCGCGGCTGAGCGACCACAACGACCTGGGCGAGTACGTCGGCGACCTGTCGAGCCGCCTCCAGTGGCTCGCGGACGGCGACGACGACGAGGCCGCGCCCGTCGTGTCCGCGCAGCACCCCAAGGGCGTGAAGCGCATGAGCCAGCCCTACATCGTCGGCCCGCGGCCGGGCACGGCGGGCTCGGCGCGGAGCTCGACGCACGAGCGAAACGAGGAGACCAAGGCCGCGGACGGCGGGCGGTCCGAGTCCAAGGGCATCGACTTCCTCGACGTCGACCGGGAGCGCCGCGCGCTCGACGGCGCGCCGTCGTCGCCGCCATCGTCGTCGAGCCCGCCCGCGAAGAAGACCGTGGGTTTCAAGGGCTCGCCGCGGCCCGGCGACTCCCCGAAGCCCGAGGGCAAGGCCCTCTCGCCGTCCGCGAAGAAGTCGAAGGCGAAGAGCCAGGAGAGCGGCCTCAAGGCCGTCCCCGCGAAGAAGGACTCGACGATCTTCAACTTCACGTCCGTGGACCAGCTCAAGACCATCTTCAACGAGGTCGACATCAACGGCGACGGCCAGCTCGACCCGACGGAGCTCCAGAAGGTCTTCGAGAAGTGCGGCCGCGACTTCATCACCGAGTCGGTGATCACGGAGTTCATCGACGACTTCGACAACGACGGCAACGGCCAGCTCAGCTTCGGCGAGTTCGTCAAGGTCTGGAACTCGACGGCGACGCACCCCGTGCTCATGCAGGCCATGCGCGACGGCGTGCAGGAGCTCGCGCGCGCGCCGAAGAAGAAGATCCACGGCAACTCGTGGATGGTGCTCCACCCCCACGCGCCGGTCCACGCGGACTGGGAGCTCTGGATCACGCTCATGCTCGTGCTGACGCTCGTGCTTCTACCCCTGACGCTCGCGTTCGAGCAGCTCGCGTGCTCGCTCTTCTACCTCACGCTGTCCATCGACGCGTTCTTCGTCATGGACATCATCAAGCAGTTCAACACGGGCTTCGTCGACGAGAACACGACCATCGTCATGAGCCGCTACCGCATCTCCGTGCGCTACCTCAAGTCGCTCTTCCTCTTCGACCTCGTGTCGTCGTTCCCCTACGACGTCATCTCCTGGGGCGACCAGTGCAAGGCGACGGACCAGCGCTACGCGCGGGCCGCGCGGCTCCTGAAGCTGGTGCGCCTCTTCCGCATCATGAAGCTCTTCCGGCTGCTGCGGTTCTCGAAGACGTTCACGATGCTCCGGAACCTCGTCATGCACTACGAGGACCGCTACCACGTCGTCATCCCGGAGTCGCTCATCAAGATGACGCAGCTCCTGCTCATGCTCCTCATCGGCGCGCACTGGATCGGCTGCATCCAGTTCATGATCGTCGCGACGGCGGGCTTCCCGCGCGACTCGTGGGTCCGCTTCGCGAAGCTCGAGGACGCGCCCGTGTCGCGCCAGTACATGTGGGCCTACTACAAGGCGCTCGCGCAGATGATCGTCATCGGCTTCGAGACGCCCGCGGCCGTGAACCAGTCCTGCGAGACCGTGCGGCAGTGGTGCGCCGTGGAGCACTGGCTCACGCTCGTGGCCCTCTACTTTGGCGCCATCTTCTACTCGCTGCTCATCTCCAACATCTCCATGATCGTGCTCAGCACGAACGTCGGCGCGCGGACGTACCGGGACAAGGTGCAGCAGGTCAACGAGTACATGCGGTCCAAGTCGCTGCCCGCGGCGCTCCGCGACAAGGTCAAGGACTTTTACACGGTCCAGTACTCCGAGGGCAAGATGTTCGACGAGGACAAGATCCTCCGGGAGCTGAGCCCGTCGCTCCGCAACGAGATCCTGGCCTACAACACGCGCGACCTCTTCTCCAAGGTGCCCCTGCTCTTCACGGCGCCGGAGAACTTCGTCAAGGCCGTCGTCCCGACGCTCACGCTGTCCGTGGGCCTCGAGGGCGAGAAGATGATCCACGAGCACACGACGGGCGACAAGATGTACTTCATCTACAGCGGCGTCTGCGACATCACGCAGGGCCAGGGCGAGCACTGCACGACCATCGAGACCATCGCCGACGGCTGCTACTTCGGGGACTGCGCCGTCATCCTGGGCTGCCAGCGCACGGCGAACGTCACCACGAAGACCGTGTCCATCGTCTACTCCATGAGCCAGGTCGGCCTCAAGTCCGCGCTCGAGCTCGCGCCGCCCGACATCATCAAGTACATGAAGAACGTGGCCAAGAGCCGCCGGGACCGCATGGCCCACTACCGCAAGTTCGGGCGCGACGGCCTCGACACGAGCGGCCTCATTTTGGACGACCAGGAGGACACGAAAACCGAAATGTACCGCGACTGCCTCCGCCAGAAGATGGAGATCCAGCTCGAGATGCAGGAGTTCGAGGAGCTGGGGCCCGACATCACGACCCTGGCCCCGCCGACGATCACGCAGCGCATGAGCCGCTTCACGCTCCGGAGCCGGCCGAGCCAGATCGGCGGCGCGCCCGACGACGACCGGCCGTCCACGCCCGGCGGCGGCCGCCGCATCACGGACTTCTTCGGCGGCCGGCGCCAGTCCATGGCCGTCGGCAACCCGCGCGTCCACGCCGACGACGACGGCGGCGACCGGCCGCCGTCGTCCGGCGGCCGCCGGTCCGTCGTCCAGCGCGGCTCGAACAGCGGCCTGCCCAACGGCCGCTACTCGCTCACGGGCGAGGGCGCCGGTGGCGAGCGCCGCACGTCCGGCACGGGCATCGGCGGCAACGTGCGCCGCCGCGAGACCACCGTCGCGGGCTCGCGGTTCAAGAACGCCGCGAAGCCGCCGCCGCACATCGCGCGGCTCCGCGCGCGCCAGCAGGCGAACAAGAAGAGCCGCTCGTCCGTGGCCGTCAAGTCCGTCGACGACGTCGCCATCTTCCAGCGCACGCTGAGCCAGGTCGTCCACACGAAAAAGGAGGACGCCGAGGACGAGAAGATCTCGCCCCTCCTCGCCGCGGGCCGCCGACGGACCGGCAACGCGAACCGCCAGACCATGCACTACTCGGGGTGACGGGGCGGCCGGCCCCCGGAAACGCCGCGCGCGGCGCGGCGCCCACCTTATCTCGCCACTAGCTTCGGGGTGACGGGGCGGCGTCGCATGTGGGCTTCGATTCCTCCTTGCGCCGCGGCGAACTGGCGAAAGACTCGTCAAAGCGAGCTCTCCGGGACTCGGCGGGCTCACACAAACAGGACCTTAGTTCGCCGAATCTCCTAAGATTCGACTTCGTACGTGTTTGTCTCGGGGTCGCGCGGCGGCTCGCCCTTGATCCAGCGGCCGAAGCGCCACCAGAGCTTCAACACGTAGCCGGTGTCGAACTCGCAGAAGAGAACCATGACGATCGCCGCGAGCCATCCTTTGCACCAATAGGCGACCAGCGGCAAGCATAAATTGCAGACCTCCGCCGCGAGGAGCTTCATCGCCATCCGGTCGCCTTTCCACGACGCGCGCGCAAACAGGCGAATCGCGCCAAAGTGGGGTCGAGTCGTGAACGAGCTGGAGGCAAATACCGCACTCCCTGGCGGCGACGCCGTCGGTGTCTCCCTGGTCGGCGGACAGCTTGAAGTAGTGGGCCGCCTCCAGGATCTTCGGATCCCTCCGCATGGCGTCCGCGAGCGTGTACTTGGTGAGGTCGGGGCACACGGTTCGGGCATAATAGAACTGGCCGTTCGGGTCGCCCGAGTCCGCCGCCTTCTTGTACAATGCCAGCGCCTTCTGCTTGTCGAGTCGCGCGGGTTTGCGTCCGAACTCGTAAAAGAATCCCAGCTGCACCATCGAGTCCGTGCTACCGAGTTCCACCGCGCGCTTGTACAGCTTGACGGCCGTCTTCATCTGCGAGGGGTTCGTGCGTTTCGCCTCGACGCGAGAGCGAGGAAGACGTCGCGCGCGGCCGCTCGGGCGAGAGCGAGGAAGACGTCGCGCGCGGCCGCGATCGACGCCGCGGCGCCGAGCAAACGCCGTCGCTGCCCCCCTAACACCGAAAATACGCTGGTTCATCGCATTTATCGAGATCCCGCATTTACCCTATTGATACGCTTGAGCCAGCTCAAAAGTCGCTCGCGAATCATCGTTTTTCACTCCGCTCCGCATCCACGCGAGGGCTTCTTTGGGGTCCTCCGGGAGCGGCGGGAGGCCCGCGCGTGTCGCGCTCTTCGTGATGATGTATTCTCGCTCAAGATGCTCATAAGACATCGTCTTCGCGCGGGCGGTCACGGTGTGAACCTTCAGACTGTGGTGGAAACAGAGGCCGTCCTCAGACCTTCTCCGAGACACCCTCGCGGTCGGTAAGGGGCGGCGCACTTCCCCGGCCGCCGCGGCCTCGCCGGCGACAACCCCGTCGATGGACAGCACGCTGAAGTCACCCCCGCCGATGGACAGCGCGCCTTACTCGAGGAGGTCCACGGGCACGGGCCCGGCGTCGTAGGCGCGCGCGACGCCGTCGGCGACGTCCCAGCGCAGCTTCCGCGCGAGGACCGCGACGCCGGCCCGCGACGCCGCGCGGAGGTGCGCGGCGAAGGACGGGCAGGCCTCGGCGTTGGGCTTGAAGACCGCGCAGTCGCGTACGGCGACGAAGAGCACGGCCGCGGCGCCGTCGCCGGACCGCGCGATGTCCGCGAGCGCGTCGACGTGCTTGATGGCGCGCGCGGAGACGACCTTCTCGCCGTCCGGGCCCTTCTGGTTGCTGTTGCCCCAGGGGAAGATGGCCGCGCGGGGCCCGCCGCTCGTGCCGTCCCCGAAGCCGACGTCGAAGTCGCTGTCGACGACGGTCTTGACCTCGACGACGGCGTCCTTGGCGCCGCCGGACACGACGAAGTCCGCGCGCATGTCGGCGCCGAAGGGCGCCACGACCTCGCGCCGGATCTCCGCGGCGCCGCGGTCCCCGTCCCAGACGTCGCCGAGCAGGTTCGTCCGCGCGAGCAGCGCGTTCGCCGCGGACTCGCCGATGGACGGGTGCGCGCCGACGTAGCCGCCGCCCTCGAGCTCCGCGAGCTGGCAGATGAACTCGCACTTGGGCGTGCCGTATTTCGGGCTCACGGCGTCGGCGCCGAGCGGGCCGCCCGTCTTCTTGTCCACCGCGGGCTTCACGAGCACGCGCGCGCCCGCGTCGGCCTTGCCGCCGAGGCCCAGCGACGGCACGTGGCACAAAGCGACGCGGCCGTCGGCGAGCTCCACGTCGGCGACGTAGGGGCTCCGGTTCCGCGCGGACGGCCGGCGCAGCACCGTGCACGGCACGAGCGCGAGCGCGCCGGGCTCGCCGAGCGCGAAGAGCGGCTCGTCGGCGCCGAGGAGCGGGCCCGGCGCGAGCACCTTCTTGCTCGGCGAGGCGGCCGGCGCCTTGCGACGCTTGGCCGCCGGCTTCCTCGTCGGCGTCGTCATCGCCGCGGCGCGCTTGCTCATGGCGACGAGGAGGAGGGTGGTGTAGCGGCGAGCGATGATGCGCTGCTGTTGCTGCGACGGCGCCTTTGCACCACTTTGTGGCCGCTGCGGTGCTTTGCTGTGGTGCTTAGCTGCTGCGCGTGTTGGTGCCCCGGACGCGGTCTCGATACGACGGCGCTGGTGTCCTGGCGCGACGTGACGCAGTCGCTTCTTCTCCGTCGCTCGCTGAAGCCAAAACTTGCCACCTGTAGTGCCGGCGGCTCTCGACACGAGCTGGGGCCGCCCTCGGGCGCCGTCGCCGAGCAGCGCGTCGCGCGTACCCGCCAAAGATGCAGCTCGCGACGGGCAAATCGAAGCGCTACCGCTTCTGGCAGACCCCAGAATTTAAAGCGGCGGTCTGCTTCGGCCTGGCCTTGGCCTCCCTGTGCTACCTCGGCTACCAGCTCTACGACCCGCGCTACGCCGGCCCGAGCGACGACGACGTCGCGAAGCCCTACGTCGCGGTGCACGCGTCGACCGTCGGCGCGCCGCACGAGAAGCGCGGCCCGGACCCCGGCGCGACGCGGAGGTGGCGGGTCGGCGAGAGCTGGGGCGGCCAGTGGCGCGCGAGCAGCGAGCCCGGCGGCGCGTACATGGCGGGCCGGCCCCTCGAGCCGCACCGCGTCGGCGCCTTTATCGGCGGCGCCGACGCCGCGACGCGGTCGGGCTTCTACGCGACGCCGTCGGGCGACTCCGTCGCGGTCGAGGCCGTCGCGGGCAACTGCTCCTCCTACGGCGTCGCGCCGCCGGCGCACTACCCGGCGCACTACCCCATCACGCAGATCATCGAGAACTGGCCGCCGGACTCCGTCGCCGTGCCGCCGCGCCACTTCGCGTCCCTCTGCGTCTTCGACCACGAGGACGAGATCCAGCGGCGGCAGGCGACGGCGTTCCGGAAGAAGGAGCTGCCGTTCGTCGTGCGGCACATCGGCGAGGTCGACGCCGTCGTGAAGGAGTGGTCGACGCCGGGCGTTTTAGAGAGGAGGCTGGGCACGAAGTACTACCGCTGCGAGCGGTCCGACGACAACCACTTCATGTACCACGGGGGCCACGGCGGGTTGCGGGGGTGGTCGTCGCCGACGGAGAACGTGCAGATGCGCTACGCGGACTGGCTCGCCTACGCGCGCAACGCCTACAACACGACGGTGCTCGAGGACCACTACTACTTCCGCGTGTCGCCGCCGGACATGACGCCCAAGGACGTGCCCATCTTCTCGCGCGACGACCCGCTCTTCATGCCCAAGTTCAAGGAATCGAAGGGCGTCCACTGCCGCTTCGGCTACGCGGGCATCATCGCCGAGGCCCACTTCGACGGGTCGCGCAACATGGTCGTCGAGCTCGGCGGGCCGCCGGAGAGCCTCGGCCACTTCAACAGCGGCCGGCGCCGCTACATGCTCGCGCGGCCCCTCGAGTGCCGCAACGCGTACCTCCTGCCCAAGGGCCACCCGTCGGGCCGCCACAGCGAGATCGACTGGTCGCGGCCCGTCGACGGCGCCAAGTTCCCCAAGTGGGCGAAGATGCGCGCGCTCGAGGTCGTCCTCGAGCCCGGCGACGTGCTCTACATCCCGGGCTACTGGATCCACTACATCATGTCCCTGGGCACGAACTTCCAGTGCAACTCGCGCTCGGGCCACTCGACGGCGTGGCAGGCCGACGTCGGCAAGTGCGGCTTCTAACGTTTCGTGGCTAAACCCTCGACGTCCCCGACGAGCTTCGCCGCGAGGTCGCGCGTGAGGTCGGACGCGCCGCGGAAGAGGCCCCGGCGCGACACGCGCGTCATGGTCACGTCGCAGGCGCAGAGCCGGCCCGGCCCGGCCCAGGCCGGGCACTCACCGAGGCGCCGGTAGGTCACGGCGGGCCGCGCGAAGGGCCCGCGGCCCGCGACGACGTACGACTCGCGGCACTTGAGCCCCCGCTGCGCGCGCGCGAGGCGCTTCGACGCGCCGCCGCCGAGGCCGAAGCCCACGAATCGACGGGACGACGGGGGCGGCGCGGGCGAGCCGTCCGCGGCGACGTAGGCCTCGACGCGCCGCTCGCCGCCGCCCGTCGCCGCGAACGTCGCCGCGCGCGGCGACACGTCGCCCGCGCCGCGCGCCGCGCGCAGCGCCACCGAGGCGCCGTCGGCGAGGAGGCCGTGGGACACGTCGGCGGCGTAGGCCGCGGGCCGCGGCACGGGCCGCGCCGGACCGCCGGGCCGCAGGGCTTTTGATTCCAACTCCGCGCCGGTCGCCGCGTCGCCGTACGCGTAGCGCCGCGCGACGCGGGCCGCGCGCGGCGCCACGAGGTAGTCGAGGTCGGTGTCCGCCGCCGGGCCGACGTCGCGCGTCGCCTCGACGCCCTCGATGCGCGCGAGGATCGCGCCCGTCGACGGGTCGCTGAGCTCGCCGGTGCAGCGCCAGTAGGCCCAGCCGCCGAAGCCGTTGCCGAAGCGCGCGCGCCGCCACTCCTTGAACTGCCCCGCGGGCCCGAGATTCGCCGTGCGCCACTCTTTGAACCGCTTCGCGGCGGGGTTGGTTGCCGTTGTTACAGTGAAAAGCGCGAGCGCTACGAGGAGGCGCACCATCGCGACGCTCGGCGTCGCTGAATGTTTTCATTGCCACAGCAAGATCAGCAAGTCTCAGGGGCCGCGTGATGGGCGCGTGTAAATCCTTGCGCAGCATGCGCTCCCTGGCGCTGTTCGCCGCGCTCTTGACCGCCCAAGGCCTCCAGCAATCCACTTGTCAAAGACGACGCAGCCTCCCGCGCGCCGCCGCGAGCGACGACGCCGATGCCTTGCTGGCGGCCGCCGCGTCGCTGCGCGCCGAGGCATCGCAGCTCGAGAAGGAGATCGCGCCGCCGGTCGCGCCGCCGCCGCCGCCGCCGCCGCGGCCGGAGGTCGTCGCCGGCGTCGACGCGCGCGAGCTCGTGCCCTGGACGGGCAAGTGCTTCGCGGCGAAGATCGAGCTCGACCAGTTCGACGAGGCGGGCGACGCCGGCGGCGTGGCGACGCGGTCGACGCCCGCGGAGTGGCAGCCCTGGTTCGAGCCCGGGGCGAGCGTCGCGTTCCGGCGGACTGCGACGGTCCGGCGTCGGGAGGACGAAACGAACTCAAACGACGCGCACGTGTGGTCCGCGGCGATCTGCGCGACGAGCTTCGCGCGGCCGGCCTCGCGGATCGGGTCGCCGACGATGGGCGTCGCCTTGCGCCGGTCGTAGCCAACGACGTCGCCGTTGACGAAGCCCCGGGCGTCCGGGAACCAGGACCAGCCCGCGACGAGGGGCGCCGTGTAGGCCAGGGCGATGCCCGCGCCGACGAGGCCGCTGTAGCACGCGAGGAACGCGCGGAGCGTCGACGCGAACGACGCGAGGAAGACGCCGAGCGCCACGAGGCCGCCGCCGCCGAGCGTCGCCGCGCGCGGGCCGAAGCGCTCCACGGCGCGGGCGCCGAGGGGCATGGTGCCGCACTGCACTAAACCGTCAGCGGGAACGCGATCAGCGCGTCGCCGGGCGAGCCGGGCGCCGCGACAGCGCCGTTGTCGTTACATGACTCTGAGTCGTGCGGTGTTGGATAAAGTAGTCGGCGGAGTCACGCCCATGCGCGCGCCGTCGAACCACCCGCCGCTCCACCCACCCGCCGCGGTCCGTTGCTGGGCATCGCGGTGGCGCGTCACCGCGCCGCGCGGTGCGGGCTCCCCCATCCCTCGCGGGCAGGCGGCCAATGTGCGTCAATTAGGTACTATCGGCTTAAATGCATCAAACGTTGACACGTTACATCTTCGGGGCCCCGGGGAGCTATGCGGGAGGAGAATGGGATGGGGTATGGGTGACGGCGCGGCGCGCGCCTAGTCGATGCGCTCGTAGGGTCCATCGGTGAGGTCCTCGTAGACCTCGCCCCCTTGGTCGTAGTTGACGCAGTGGAGAATGCCGTTGAAGTCCACGATGGTGCCTTCGAACCATTCATCCTCGTCATCGAAATACACAGTGACTCGCCATCCGATGGCTTCGTAGCCCGGCCCGGGAGATGCCTTCTCGAACCAACACCAAATGTAGTACCACACTGCTTCCCTGCCTCTATAGTACGGCTGGCGGTAGCGGTCGAGCGCATCTCCGTTTTGCGCGCCCACGATGCCACAAATATCGACGGCGGGGAGAGATCCAAGGCATTCCAATTCCGAAGGGTGCGATTTCAACCCGATCTGAAACAACAGCCCAACCATGCGCGAAAGCGACCTGCAATTCCCTTCCGTCGAGTTCTTCCCGTGGCTGTACGACGCCTCCACGTGTGGAGCGTCGAGGCCGTGGAATTCATCGCGAAAGCAGTTGATCACTTTCTCATTCACGAAGCTCATCACAGGGGTGCCAATAGCACGAGGATTCGATCGCGACGAGAGCTCGATGAAGCGCAGGACCTCCGACATCGTCCCGCCCATTTTGTCGAACAACACAGCCGGGATTGTGATGAGCGAGACGTTGGGGCAGGAATCGCCCTTGGACCGGTCGAGCATCACGACGTGCTGATTGTAGACGCCCTGGTGCTGGTCCCAGTCCATGAAATTTTCCACGACGTCGTCCTCGAGGCGCTCGTAGAAAGAGTCGTTGAATTTGTCCTCGTCGGCTGCAAAGAATTCCATGAGCGGGAGGCCCTCGACGTTGTCCGCGTTCTCGCATCGTAGGCCGCACAGCACGGCCACCGCCGCGAAGCGGAGCTGGTCGGAGTCGCGGATGCGCGTGCCCGCCTCGGCAGCGACGAGGAGGTCCCAGACGAGGTTCACGCACTTGTCGTGCGGGTCCGTGAACTTGTACTGAGCGCAGGTCGTGACGTTGTTCCACACCGCGCCCGCCTTCTGTTCAAGCTGGTAGGCCTTGCCCGCGCCGTGCACGCCCGCCGCCTGGCGAGCGAGGTGGTGCGTGAGGAGGCCCTCCTGGAGCAACTTGAGGTCCGGGCGCGTCGCGTCGACGCCCTGGCCCGCCGTCGCGATGTAGTCGTAGAACGCCGACGGTGAGCAGGAGTGGACGAGTTCAGATTTCATCTGCACCTGCGTCGGCGGAAGCGGTTCCGCCGGCCGGGGCGTGCGCGCGCGGCGCGCGAGTTCCCCCCGGGCTCGGGACGCGGCGGACGCGCAACATCGGTGATGTGCTGGGTGATCGAGTCGCGGATTGAGGGCCGCTCCGCGTCCTGTGAAGCTGTAGCTTCCTGAGTAGAACCGTAATGTTTAAGGATCAATGCGGCGGAACCGTCCCAGTACTCCATGATCTCCACCTTCCACAGCGGCATCAGCTGCTTCACGGGGATGCGTGTGCGGGTACCCGGGTAGGTGGTCGACAGCTGCAGTACTCGCTCCGGTTTGTGCCCCGTGAGCTGCGCGTCACGGTACCGATCCGTAAAATACGCGAGCGAACGCGCGAGCTTGCGATCGCCTTGGATCTGAATCAACCGCTGTCTCGTCGGGCTATCGTCCGGGAGTACGGTCGCACTAATCACGTCATCAATTTCAATCTCCATGAGGAGGAGGAAGCAGCGCGGGACTGAAGCGCAGGACGCCGCTCAGCCGAGCGGAGGTCGTGCGGAGGTCGAGATGGACGTCAATGCCACTTCACGGTGAAGCTGCGCCCGGGCTGCCATATGTGAGAGCCAGCGCGCTGCCGGTCGACGCGTACCGCGGCATCCGCCAGATCTTCTGGGCCGAGGACTCGAAGACGCTGCTCTACGTGCAGGACGACCTCGACGAGCTGCAGTGGAGCGTCGACGCGTCGACGACCCAGGGCAGCGGCGGCAGGCCCTGGAAGAGCGTGACGTGGGACGCGACGGCCGAGGGCGCGTCGCCCGACCAGGCCCGGGTCGTCGCCGACGCCGCCGCCGCGGCCGAGAACGAGGACACCTACGTCGTCGCGGCCGCGACCCTCCGCGTCGTCCAGTACTGGAACGACATCGACGAGGAATTGGAGCTCGACATGGACGTGCTCGACGACCTCTCCGGCGAGGCCGCGGAGGTCAACGCCGCGCAGCCCTGGCTCACCTACGGCGGTCCGCTCCACCGGCTGCGCGAGTGGGGCACGGCGGTGAAGATCATGGACCTGCTCGACGAGACGGCGCTGACGAAGACGCAGCTGCCGGCGCTCGCGAAGGTCATCCTGGGCGGGCCCGCGGCGGACCTGCTGCACCCGGAGCTGGACTGGAAGGGCTTCCTCAAGGCCCTGGACCTGTGCCAGCGCGACTACACGGTCTGCGTCGTCCAGCTCCTTCCGTATTTAGTCGGCGAGCGCTACGTCGGCGCACTCCCGCGTCGAGGAACGGGCGCGCTTTTTTTTCGCGCGATTCGCGCCGGGACACGGGAAGACGTCCGACCCTCGGTAGGCGCCTTCCCGCCCATGGGCGTCATATTGGAGGAGGGCGGCGGCGGCGCGATCGTCGTCGCCGAGGTCGTCGAGGGCTCCGCGGGCGAGCGGGCGGACGTGCGCGTCGGCGACGTGCTCCGCGCGTGCTCCGCCGTGACGCGGGGCATCCGCTACGGCGGCGCCGCGGCGCCGGAGGCCGGCTCGGCGCTCGGGCGGCGTCCCGCGGAACCCTTCGAGAGATTTTCCGCGTCGAGAGATTTGAGCGTCAGCGGGGGCCGCGGAACTCCCCCGGACGAGACGCCTCGAGAGCTCGTCCCGGGGATTCGACTGCACGCGAGAAAAGCGCACGCGTGGTCTACAGGCGCCCGAGCTCCGGAGGACGCTCGTGCCCTGCGACATGCAGCCCTTCGACGACGTCATGGACAGCGTCCGGTCGAACCTGGACGCGCCCGTCGGCGACCCGGAGGTCGTCCTCATCCTCGAGCGCGGCATTAAGTAGGTTTGTCGCGCCGGGCGGGCGTCGGACGGGCGCGCGCCGAGATGGAATTTCGCCAGCGCAAGCACTCGCGCGCCCGTGAGTCGCGACCGCGATCTGAGTCGCCGCGCCACCGTCGCGTCGGCGCCGCGATCGCCGCCCCCGGGCTCCGAACCCCACCGCGCCGAAACGGGAACACAGGTGGGAGCATCTTAAGGCGTGTCGGAGTCTCACCGAAGCCGAGCTCACCGAGTGTGTGGCCGCCGCGGAGTTCGGCGGCCCGGGTCGGACGACGGGTCTTGCGCCCGCGGTCACCCGGTGCGGCGCCTAGAAGAGGGAGAACTGGCCCTCGAAGGGGACCATGACGTTTCCGGAGTACTGGGGGAAGTTGAACTGGGTCAGGAAGGGCACGGAGCCGGGGACCTTGGACTCGGCGAGGAGGCCGAAGAGGCCGATCATCGCGAGGCGGCCGTTGTTGACCTCCGCGTTGCGGCCCTTGGCCTTCTTCTCCTCGGAGTTCTTCTTGAAGAAGCCGAAGGGGTCGAAGAGGTTGAGCGGGTAGCCCTCGAACTTGGGGTAGCGGCCCGGCTCGCCGCCGCGCATGTAGTGCTTGGGCTTGTCGGCGGCGAGGCCCATGTCCGCCGAGGGCACGTCGTACTGCCACTCGTCGTACCACTCGGCGCAGCCGATGGCGAGGATGATCTGCCACTTGGCGCCCTGGGGGAGCTGGTCCCAGAGCGCCGGCACGCCGCCCTCGCCGAGCGTCGGCCACTTGTCGCCCGAGAGCGCCATCGGGAACGGCCACGTGATGCCCTGCGCGTGCACGAGGAAGCCCACGAAGCCCGCCATGGCGACGCGGCCGTGCTTGAGCTCCGCCTGGCGCAGGAAGCCGATGGTCGCCTCGTTGGTCTCCTCGAAGAACATGTCCTCGCTGAGGCCCAGCGGGTCGAAGTAGCCGACGATCGGGTTCTGCTCCGCGGCCAGGGCCTGCAGCTGGGCGAGGCCGAAGCCGCCGGACGAGGCCACGGGCGCCTATATGGGGGGGGTGTGGGTGTGGGCGGGCGGTGGCGTGTTGCAACGGACGCGGGTGGCCGTGCGGGCGCGGGCGCCGGCGAGGGCGCGGCCTCGGCCTCGTCGTCCTCGGCGCGGACGACGGTCTTGAGGCTCTGGAGCTTCGGGATGTTGACGAACGCGCTGGCGCTGGAGGCGCAGAGCGCGAGGATGGCGGTCTTCATGGTGGTCTTGCAATGCGAGGTTGCTATCTATAGGCAAAGCGTCGGACGAGGATCGACTTCGAGCTCGTGCCTCGACGAGCGCGCACGCTCGGCGCGCGGTCAAACCTCGGCTTGCTGAAGTTTCCGTTCGATTTTTTTCGGCTCTGCCTCGAGCGAGCGGCGCGCACCTCGGCCTCGCTGCGGACCGCGGTCGTCGGCTTTGCCGCGTAGGAGGGGCAGGCCGCCTTTCGCTGGAGGATCCGGCGAGGATCAAACAGCCGCGCGTTGTTTTCCGACGGGCCGAGCCCGCGACGACCGTGACGGCCGCGAAGTCCAAGGCGACGACTCGCGAGCCACGCGCCGCAGACAGCTATGCTTAGAACGCCACGTCCGTGCGAGTGGTCCGCGCGCGCCGTCCGAAGCCGCGTGTTGTCTTCCGACGGGCCGAGCCCGCGACCGACGGCGGCCGCGAAGTCCGGGGCGACGACTCGTCAGCCACGCGCACGAGGCTATGTTCCTTGTTATTAGCGTCCTGCGCGAGCGGTCCCGCGCGGCCCGGCGCCGTCCGAGAGCGCCGTGCGTGGGGCTCCTCGTCGAGCGCCGGCCGCGCGCGGCCGTCGAGGGCGGCTCGCCGCCTAGGAGAGGATGTGGAGGGGCTGGAGGGGCGCCATGTAGTCGCCGTCGTAGGGGAGGATGAAGGAGAGGAGGGGCACGGAGCCGGCGACCTTGGACTCGGCGAGGAAGCCGAAGAGGCCGATCATCGCGAGGCGGCCGTTGTTGATCTCGATGAGGCGGCCGCGGGCCTTCTTCTCCTCGGAGGCGTTCTTCGTGAGGCCCGCCGGGTCGAAGAGGTCGAGGGGCACGGGGTGGGGGAAGACGCCGTTGAGGTACTTCTTGAAGGACGGGTACGCGCCGGGCTTGCCGCCGCGCATGTAGTGCGGCGCGCCCTCGTTCGTGCGGGAGCCGAGCTCGCCGAAGAACTCGAGGAAGGCGATGAAGCCGAGGATCTGGAGCTTGCCCTCCGTGGGGACCTGGTCCCAGAGCTCGCCGGGGTTCTTCGTCGTGTAGTCGCCCGGGATGTGGAGCGGGAACTGGACGCCGTTCGCGTGGAGGCAGTAGCCGACGAAGCCGGCCATGGCGACGCGGCCGTGCTTGATCTCGGCCTGGCGGAGGAAGCCGATGGTCTCCTCGTTCGTCGTGTCCCAGAACTCGGCGTCCGCGAGGCCGAGCGGGTCGTAGAAGCCCACGATCGGGTTCAGCTCGACGGCGAGCGCCTCGAGGTCGGCCTTGGTCTCCTGGACCTTGACGGTCGCGGACTGCGCCGCCGGCGCCACGAAGGCGGAGGCGGGCGCGAGGGCGGCGAGGGCGAGGACGAGGCGGTTCATGGTTGAGCTGCTGCGAGGGAGTTTCCGCGATGAACCTTTTTTTGTCGTGCGCGCGCGGCGCGCGCGTTGTCTCTGTTGCGCGGCGCGGTTGCAAGGGCAATGGGGGGGCAATGGGGAGGAGGCGGGCGGGTTGCGGGTGTGTGTGGGTGGGTCGCGGACGCCGCGAACTGAACCTGTTTGGTTGCGGATAGAGCTGCGATGCGAGTGGGAAGATCGTCGAGGTCGCGTGGACCACACGCGCTCGGGTGAAGCGGGGCCAATAATTCCGTTGAAGTTTAGGCTTGAGGCCCTGCACCTGCTTTGCACGACGGTCCGGCTCGGGACGGGGGCCGGGGACGGCGGGCACGGGGGTTCCGGCACGGTAAATGCGCTCCCGGCACGCGGCCCGGCACGGGCCCGGCACGCGGCACGGGGCCCCGGGCACGGGCCGGGCTTGGGCCGGGCCGGGGAGTCCCGGCACGGGCCCGGCACTCGGCACGGGCCCTGGGCACGGGGTTGTGCACGGGCCGGGGAGGCCCGGCACACGGGCCCGGCACGGGGCCCCGGGCACGGCCCGGGCACGGGCCGGGGACGTGGCCGGGGACCGCGGCACGCACCGTCGCGCACATATGCAAAACTAACCCTTGACGGAATAAACTTCACAATCTATGATGAATTTTGGGATATTGATGGCTCGGAGCGCACAGCTTATATTGAAGGAGATGCAGACCTTTAAACGAATGGCTCGCATCGTTTATGATATATACGTTGGGCAATTATAATCACTACGGCTCATTTCCTATATGCAGGGGCCCCTTTGAGGGCCCGGCGCCAAGGCGTACATCACCGTTGCCCGCGCTGCGCCCCCCCCCCGGCGCGATCGCCCCGCGCGACAACAGCACACACCAAAAAAAGAACCCTAGTACCCCTTCTCCCAGTCCACGACATACCGCAGCTCCTCCCCGCGCGTCCACCGATCCAGGTTGTCGCAGAAAACGACAGCAACATCGGCGGGCAGGCTCAGCGCGGCGACGTGGGGCGTCACTCGCACCCCCGGCGACGCCCAGAGCGGCGAGTCCGCCGACAGCGGCTCCTCGGCGAAGACGTCCAAGACCGCCTCGCGGACGTGGCCCGCCGCGAGCGCGGCGAGGACGTCGTCCTCGCCGAGCAGGTCGCCGCGGCCCACGTTGAGAAACAGCGGGCTCCGGCCGCAGGCCGCGAGGCGCCCGCCGCCCAGGAGGCCCCGCGTCGCCGCCGTGGACGGCAGCGCGGAGACGAGAACGTCGCAGTCCGCGAGCACGGAATCGACGTCGCGCGTCGTCGCGTCGAAGTGGCGCCGCGGCCCGCCGTCGCGGGCCCAGCCCAGGGTCCGCATGCCAAAGGCCTTGGCGACGCCCGCGACCTGCGGCGCGGCGGCGCGGGGAGGACGTCGCGCCGAAACCGCCGAACGTCGCCGCGAAAGTCGCCGAGGGCCCTCGTTTTTGGGGGGACGGACGAACGGCGCGTCTCCCCAAACCACCGGCTCTCGGCTCTCGGAGGCGCGCTCCCCAAACCACCGGCTCTCGCCCCCCCAAAGATTCCGCGCCGTTCGCGCGCGTGCTGGCCGATGTCGCCCGCGCCGAGCACGCCGAGCGTGAGGGACCCGAGCGGCCGCGCGGCCGCCGCGAAGTCGCCGTGGGCCCAGGTGGCCGTCGTCTCCGCCGCGCGCAGCCTGCGAAGGACCCCCGCTGGCGTGGCCGAAACAGCTCGATCTGGGCATGGAAAAAGGGTGCGAAACTCCCAATCTCGGTCGTTTTTCGACTAATCTTTGGACGGGCGATTATCGCTCTTGAAGTGTGGATGCTTTCTCTTGGACGATCGCGCGCGGAACACTCATGAATCACCCTTTCGCCGCCCGGGCTCTCCTACTCGTCGACGCGCCGCTCGACGCGGAGCACGTGCGCGAAGACGTGCTCGGCGATGAGCGGGCCGAAACAGCCGCTGAGCTTCGTGCACGCAAAGTCGCTGCGCCCGCCGGCGAGGGCGTTGACGCCCGCCCACGTCGACTGGAGCCACTCGAGCGAGCGGCACGCGGCGAGCGGCGGCCCCGCGACGAGGCCCGGGTCCGCGAGGACGACCCTGCTCTCGCGCGCCCACGCCGCGTTGCCGGCCACGCAGTCCTCGGGCGCCAGGGCCACGAGCTCCACGCCGGCGAGGGCCGGGTAGCGCGAGAGCTCCTTCTGCACCGTGGGCAGCAGCGAGGCGATGCCGCTCACGACGGAGACGCGCATGTTTTGCAGCGCGCGCGGTCGCGCCGTCGTCGAGCGCCGCGCGTGGGCTGCAGGCGCGCCGCTTGGTGCTGGTTTTGACGGCGCGGCGGCGCTTCAATCAGTTACTTGCACTGCACTTGCGGGAGAGCTTGGCCTTGCGGCAGAGCATGCGTGACGGCGCGCACCGCTGAGCGCCGCTGCGACCCGAGCCTCACGCAGGATAAACAGCAACTAGAGCCGCACGAGCATAAACAGCAACAACAACGATGGCGGGCTACGAGCACGTCCAGCGCCTCCACGACTCCCCGCCGGAGCCGGAGTTCGCGCTGCGGGGCCACCTCGCGGCCATCAGCTGCGTGCGCTTCGTCGCGGCCGGCGACCAGCAGCTCGTGGCGTCGGGCGACACGAGCGGCGTGGCGAAGCTCTGGAGCCTGAGCGCGCGGCGGCCCGTCGCGTCCTGGAGCGCGTCGGACCAGGGCGTCCTCGAGACGCACGAGCACGGAGGCGGCGAGAGCCTGCTCACGCAGCACCGCGACGGCCGCATCCGGCTCTGGGACCTCGACCGCCTCGCCGGCGGCGCCAAGCCCGAGGACGCCCTGGCGCGGACGCTCTTCACGGACAGCTACTTCTTCACGCGCTGCGCCGTCGCGACCGGGGCGGGAAAAGGGCGCGACATTCCCAACTTCTCTCTCGGCCGGTTTCCACCCGTTTCGGCTGATTTTTGGACGAGCGAGCCGGAGTTCGCGCTGCGGGGCCACCTCGCGATCATCTCTCGAAGCGTGAATGCTTTTTTTCCGGCCGGTTTCCACCCGTTTCGGCTGATTTTTGGACGAGCGAGCCGGAGTTCGCGCTGCGGGGCCACCTCGCGATCATCTCTCGAAGCGTGAATGCTTTTTTTCCGGAACGCGCGCGCGCGGAACGCTCAAGTTGACGCTCACCCGCCCAGGTCGCGAAGCGGTCCGACTGCGCCTACGTCTACGAACCCCCGGCCCCGCCGTCGCCGCCGCCGCCGCCGCCGCCGCGCGCGAAGCCCGCCGGCGGCATCGGCGCGACGTTAGACGCCGACGACGACGCGGCGTCGGCGGCGGAGGCCAGCGTCCTGTGGGCGCGACGATTTTCGAGAGATTTGGGGCGTGAAAACGACGAGAAAACGTTACCGTCATGCTTGGCAGGCGGAGGCCCGGGCCGCGGACGACGAGTGGCGCGAGGCCGCGGTCGCCGCGCACTGGTCGGGGAAAGCGGGCGCGCCGCGGCACCTCGTGCTCGCGCCCACGGAGCCGCCCGAGGCCATGGTGTTGTGGGACACGCGCTGCGATCGGCCGGCCCTGCGGTTCCAGCCCGACGGCGGCGACCGGAGCAAGGTCCGCGCGGGCGACAGTCCCGTCATTGGCATGGCCATGTCCGCGAAGCTCTGGCTGCCCTACGGCGGCTGCGCGTCCGGCACAGGGCAGGACGAGAGAGCGAAATTCCAAACTTCAAAGCCTCATATCTCGGCCGTTTTCCACTCGTTTTGGCTGATTTTTGGACGAGCGATCATCTCTTGGAACCGTCTCGAAGCGCGGATGCTTTTTACGGGACGCGCGCGCGCGGAACACTCACGTTGAAACGACGTTGAATCTCTCTTGTCCTGCCCAGGTCCGGCACGCCGCCCCTCGCGCTCGTGGGCTACGAGAACGGGTCGGTCATGGCCTGGGACCTGACGGCGCTGCGGCCGCGGCCCTGGAGCGTGACGCCGCGGAACGTCTTCAAGAGCCCGCTCATGGGCCTCGACGTGAACCGCGAGGGCACGGTCATGTTCGCGGGCGGCGTCGAGACGGCCGCGCGCGCCTTCGCCCTCGCGCCGGGCGCGCTGCGGCCGCGCCACGACATCGGCCTGCCCGTGAGCTGCGAGGCCGTCGAGGAGGTCGACCGCAAGGAGGGCATCGGCCAGCTCGCGCTCCGGCCCGACGGGAGGGTCTTGGCGACCGCGGGCTGGGACTTCCGCGTGCGCCTCTTCTCCGCCAAGGCGCCCAAGTTCAAGCCCCTCGCCGTGCTCAAGTACCACGACGCCGCGGTCAACGCGCTCGACTTCTCCGACGACTCGCGGCTGCTGGTCACGGGCTCCAAGGACCAGAAGATCGCCCTCTGGGACGTCGGGGCGCGCTTCCCGCCCAGGCAGCGGGGGGAGTCGTAGGCTTCCTTCTTACCAGAGGGGCGGGCCGTAGTCCTTCGCGGGGCTCTTCGGCGGGGACGGGGGCACGTTCGGGTCCCGCGCGCTGAGGCCGCGCTTCTTCTTCTGCGGCGACGCGTACTCGATCCACGCCGGCGCGGGCCGCGGCGCGGCGGGCGCGGGCGCGGCGGGCGCGACGGGCGCGAGCGGCACGGGCGTGTTGACGACGGGCGTCGGCGGCGCGTGCAGCGGCAGCGCGTCCTCGAAGAGCGCGCCGTCGACGCGGCCGAGCGCGCGCCGCGCGCGCCGCCGGGCCGCGCGGAGCGGCGTCGCCAGCAGCGGCGACACGGCGCGGAGCGGGCTCGCCAGCGCGCGCAGCGGGCTCGTCAGCAGCGCCGGCACGGCCCCTATCGCGCGCGCTCGCGCGAGCGCGACGACGTACCGGATCGGCGTGTCGATCGGCACGTCCCGTTCGAGGAAGTCGTAGACGACGAAGCGATTCGCGAGGAGCCGTCGCGCGGCCGCGTACCGCGCCGCGAGCGCGCGGGTGGCCTTCTCCTTCGCGAGAAGCGGGATTGTGAGGACATGCGTGAGGGTGCCCTTCAGGTGCGCGAAGTACGACGGTTCCTCGGGAAGCGGCGGCTGCTGTTGGCGCAGCTCGAAATCCTCGAGGTCGTCGAGGGCGTCTTCAACGAGCGTCGCGAAGTCTACGTCGCGACCGAGCATGGTTGCGATGGACACGAACGCGACGGACTACTGCTGGGGCAGACGGAGTGCGACAAGTACCGGCCGAGCGACAGCGCGGCGAAGCCGATTGCCAACGTCGTCAGGAAGGCGCCAGGCGACTTCGCCCGTTGCAACCTTTGCCCCATCAATGGCATCATGTTGAAGTCCAGGCGTACGCCGCGTGCACGCGCCTCCGAAATTATCTCTTCGTCGTCAGCACCACGACCAGCCGGAACGCCAGCTCGTCGTCGTCGGCGGCGACGAAGTCCGGGTCCAGCGCGCCGTAGGTGGCGACGTCGGCCTCGAAGGCGCCCGCGAGCCGCGCGAGCAGCAGGACCTCCTGGAGCGAGAACTCGCGCGTGGGCACGACGTCGACGAGGGACGCGACCTTGGTGCGCACGTCGCCGCCGCCGTAGACGTCGAAGGCGACGGTGGCGTTGCGGATCTGCGTGAGCGGGTCGAACGCGTCGTCGTCGCGGCCCCACGCGACCTCGACGTCCGCGCCGTCGCGCGCGGTCGCGACCCAGGCGTCGCAGCCGACGTCGTCCAGGCGAAAGGTCTCGCGCGGGTGCGGCAGCTCGAGGACGAGCGTGCCGCCCGGCGCGAGGCTCGCCGCGGCGTTCCGGAGCGCGGCGACGGCCGCGTCGGCCGTGAGCAGGTGCCCCGCGCTTCCCAGGAGCAGCCAGGCCGTGTCGACGCGTCCGATGGTCCCGTAGGCCGATGCGTCGACCATGTCGCCGACGACGTAGGGCACGTCGACGCCGCGCTCGTCCGCGACGGTCCTCGCGTAGGCCGCCATCGCCGCGCTGTTGTCGAGCGCGGCCGCGTCGAGGCCGCGCGCCGCGGCCTCGACGGCGTGGCGCGCGGGGCCCGCGGCGAGCTCGAGCACCGACGCCGCCGGCCCCGTGGACCCGTGGCGCGCGTGCGCGCCGAGCAGGAAGTCGACCTCGGACGCGAAGTCGCGGAAGCCAAAGGCCGCGTCGTAGAGCTCCGGCGACTCGTAGACGCTCGCGGCTCGCGCGGCGCCGCGGCGCGCCCGTCGCAGCAAGGGCGGCGCGAGCGCGGCGGCGGCGCGCAGACTCAGTAGCATCGATGCGACCGCGAGCACGGCCGCGGCGCGCAGACTCGGCAGCATTGATGCGACCACGAGCGGCGCCTTGCCCCTACAAGTTGGCGAGCGGCACTCATGACCTCAATCACGCCTTCAATCACGACAGCCTCGCGACGACGAGGAGCATACGAGGAGCATGCCTTGCCACGAGGTCGAGGCGAACGGCACCCACAGACCTCAAGCATCACGACAGCCTTACGAAGTCCCAGGAGAAGCGCAGGTAGTCCGCGGACCAGGCCGCGTCGCCGGCGAGCTTCGCGTCGAGGACGCCGCGGTTCCGGCGCGTCGACCGCGAGAAGAAGGCCGCCTTCTCGCGGGGCTCGTCCATGTAGACGAGCGGCGGCGCCGACGCCGCGGCCTCGAGCGCGCAGCCCGCGGCCTTCTCGACGCGCCCGTAGTGGGCGAGGTCCGTGAAGCCGTAGTGGCCGACCAAGTCCTCGTCGCAGCCGCCCGCGGTCCAGTAGGTCCGCCGCGACTCGAGGACGACGCCCGGGTGCACGCGCCGATGCTTGCGGCCCGACGACTCGAGGACGCGGGGGAAGCCGCGCAGGACCGCGCAGCCGGCCGGTCTGTGGGCGAGCGCCCAGTCCAAGAGCGCGGGCGAGAGCTTCTGGTCCGAGTCGACGGCGAGCACGTGCGACGTCGGCGCGACGTGAAACGCCAAATTCCTCGCGCCGCCGACGTTCCACGCCAGGTCTTCGGCGATGCGGACGACGACGACGCGGCCGCGCGGCGCGAGCGCCCCGAAGACGTCCGCCGCGGCGTCGCGCGGCGAGCCGTCGTCGACGATGAGGAAGAGCAGTTTCGCGAGCAGCGCGTCGTCGTAGGCGTTCCACGCGGCCACGTGCCGCGCCGCGTAGGCGACGTCGCGGTAGTACAAATAGGCGACCGTGAGTTCCGCCGTGCCGGCGTCCAGCGCGTCGTGGCCGCGGAAGCGCTCCGGGCACGCCGGGTTGGCCGCCAGCGACGCGTTGGCGCCGATGACCGCGCAGCCGCACCGTTGCTGCTTTGCGGCACTCGCGGTCGCAGCGAAGACGAGTAGCCGATGCATCACGACGCTGGTCGGGGCACCGGATGCCGCATTAGCTGCAGCCCCGCGACGACGGCATCACATCGTCGACTGCATCGAGCCGCGGCACCGTCGGCCTGTTGCCGACTTGTTGCCATGGGGGGTGTTGCCACAAGCCGGCGCCGGCGGCGCGCGCGCGCGCACCAATGAATTTCCCCACCCGCGAGTTTGTACCAGTCCTGCCCGGTGGGCTTCGGGAAGTGCAGCAAGCTCTCTCAAACTCGACCATATCGGGACGATATGCTCCCTCAAAGACCTCCTGCGTACGAATACGCGCGTATACGCGCCAGCCATACGCTGCGTCAATGCGCCGAGCGGTCGTTTTTCGTGGTCGGGGCGACGTCCCATGACCCCTGGCGCTGCCCTGGACGGTTGGTGGGCGCCTCGGGCGCAATTTCGGTCTCCGCCAAAATTCGACCTCGCGGGCCTGTTCGTCCACTGTGGTCCCACGTACGTTTACGGACAAATCCGGCACCACTGATCTCGGCGCCATCGACGTCACTGTACGCGCCCCTTGGTTTCGGGACGCTTCAGGGGCCGAGGCTTCGGGAACGCCCGGGTGGAGAAATTAACGCGACCGCTGAGGAGCGGTGGGAGCGGTGGCGCGCGCTGCACTATGCCGGCAATCCCCCCCGTTGTTGCCCCTCCAAATCGTGTGGTTCGAGGCAGGAGCGCGGCAAGAGCTGCGGCGCCAACTGGGAGCGCGGGCCCCCGCGCGCGTTCGCACCCATGGCGTCGCGCGACCTGACGCGCAAGTTCGTCGAGTGGCGGTCGGCGCGGCCGCGGCGCGCGGCGCCGGGTGCGCTCCGGTCCAACAGCCGCGAGGACCGGTCCCTCGTCGGCGGCTACGCGAGCGACACGTCGGAGCCGCCGGAGCCCGCGACGCTTCCGCCGACCCTGCCGCCGGTCTGGGTCGACCTCGTCGAGCGCGTCGAGGGCGACGTCCTCAAGATCGAGCGGGCGACGCGCGATCTGGCCGCGCTGCACACGAAGCGTCTCATGGTGAGCTTCGACGACGCGGGCGAGGCCGCGCTCGACGACGAGATCGCGGCGAAGCAGCGCGAGGCCACGAAGCTCTTCCGGGCCTGCGAGAGCTCCCTGAAGCGCGTCGCCGCGCACGGCGGCGACGACCTCAGCGACAGCGAGCGGACGATCCGGTCGAACATCCAGCGGTCCGTGGCCATGCGCATCCAGGCGCTGAACACGGACTTCCGGAAGGCCCAAAAGGAGTACATGGTGCGCCTCAAGTCGCAGAAGGAGGGCTCGACGGGCACCTTTGACTTCCTCTCGGGCGGCGAGGCGAGCTCGGCCGCCGAGGGCGTCGACTTCAACGACCGCCAGCTCGCGGCCGTCGTCGACGTGGAGAACCTCGTCGACGAGCGCGACGGCGAGATCAAGCAGATCGCCGAGTCCATCCAGGAGCTGTCGACGATCTTCAAGGAGCTCGCGGTCCTCGTCATCGACCAGGGCACGGTGCTCGACCGCATCGACTTCAACATGGAGCAGGTCGCCGAGCACACGCGCAAGGGCGTCGTCGAGATCGAGAAGGCCGAGCAGTACCAGAAGGCCGCGCGGCCCCGCATCTGCATCGCGCTGCTCCTCTTCCTCATCACCATCATGATGATCGCGCTCATCCTCAAACACCGCGACGGCGACAAGAAGGACGACAAAAAATAGGGGCCGAGGCGGGGCGGCCTAAATCGGAACTCGTTTGACTTGCGGCGCCGCGTGGATCGCGATTTGGTTATCCCGTACTGCTCGTTGACTTCAACATACGATGGTGCATTCGAGATGCATTCGGCGAGCTGTGGTAGCTCTCAGGCTTGGACACCAGCGCCGTCGAGGAGACCACCATCGGCGCGCCGTCGAGGAGACCACCATCGGCGCGCCGTCGAGGAGACCATCACCAGCGGCGTCGAGGAGACCATCACCAGCGGCGCCGTCGCGTCGCAACGACACGATGGACGACTGCCTCGACGACGACTTCTTCGTCAACCTCGCGCACGACGGCACCATCGAAGGCACGACCGCGGACCTCGACCTGGGCACGCGGTGCCTCGAAGGCGCGCTGCAGCTCGACGACACACAACACGGGGAGCTCCTGCGGGACTGCGCCCTGGCCAACTCGCCGCTGATCACGCAGGACACGTTCTGGATCGGCGCGGCCGCGGCGCCGCGCTGCGCGCTCGAGGCGCTCGCGCTCGCGGTCTTCGAGCGCCACTGCGGCGCGTCCCCGTTCGCGCGCGCGGCGCGGTCGGGCGCGGAGTGGTGGGTCCAGGTCAAGGACCCGACGGCGGGCGCCGACGACGCGAAGCAGGTCTGCTTCCACTGGGACAAGGACGAGCGCGCGCACGCGCTCCACGGCTTCTACGTCTTCCCGCAGCTGTCGACCGTCACCTATCTCACGGACGGCGGCGCGCCGACGGTCGTCCTCGACCGGCGGCCCGACTCGTTCACGGGCGCCATCTCCGACGAGCCCATCGGCGAGGGCGCGGCGTGCTACCCGGCGCGCGGGAACCACCTCTGCTTCGACGGCCGGAAGCTCCACGGCGCGCCGCTCGATCCCGCGTGGAATTCAAATCTTCAACCCGACTTCAATGTGCGCGTATGCGACCGTGTCGACGCGAGTTTTTCTGCTGTGCTTCGAGAACTCAATGAGAGCAATCGATTCGTCCAAACATCAGCCGAATCGACGTCGATTTGACCGAGCTAGAGAAGTTTGGTCAGGACCACCCAAACCAGCGGTTGAATTCCACGCAGGCTCGATCTCCGGCGGTCCCCCGCGGCGGAGCGGCGCGTGACGTTCCTCGTCAACTGCTGGCTCGACCACCGGCCGTCGGGCGTGCGCGAGTTCCCCGCGGCGGCCCTGGGGAAGATGAGCCGCCCGGGACTCGCGGCGTTCCGGACCGGCGCCGCGGCGGCGCGGCCGGCGGAGGCCGCGCGCGGCGCCGGCGACGCGAGGGAGCTCGCCTACCCGTTCTCGCGCGTCGGCACGCGCCACGCCGTCCGCTTGACCGTCGTCGACTTCGACCCGGCCTCGACCGCGCCGCTCGTCGACCTGGTCGCGTGCGGCTGCGCCGCGCGCGTCGGCGAGGAGGACGAGCCGCCGCGGCGGCGCGAGCGCGAGGTCCCGGCGCCGGACGCTCCCGCGGAGCCCCGGAAACGGCGAAAACAACACAACTAAGTTTAATCGAGCGACGACATGGCGTTGGAGCTCGGCCGCTCCATGGACCGGATGAGGTGCCTCTGGACGCCGCGCTCCTTCTCGCCGTCGTCGTAGTCGATGTCGAAGGTGCCGTCGGAGTGGACGCGGCCGATCTTGCCCGGGTAGTACTTCGACCGGCCGCGGTAGCGCGCTTCGATGCTCTCGCCGACGCGCATGCCGCCGCCGCCGTCGTCGCCGCCGCCGCCCGCGGACTTGACGTACTCCTCCAAGACGCGCGTCTCCTTCTCGCCGTCGTCGTAGTCGATGTCGAAGGTGCCGTCGCCCCGGTCCCTCGAGATGCGGCCGGGGTAGTACTTGGAGCGGCCGCGGTAGCGCGCCTCGACCCTGGCGCCCTCCTGGAGCCGGTTCGAGCGCGGGCTCCCGCGGTGGTCGCCGACGCGCGTGCCGCCGGCGGAGCGGATGTACTCCTCCGAGACGCGCGTCTCCCGCTCGCCGTCGTCGTAGTCGATGTCGTAGGTCCCGTCGTTGCGGTCCCGCGAGATGCGGCCGGGGTACCACTTCGACCGGCCCTTGTACATGGCCTCGATCTTCTCGCCCACCGTGAACCCGTCCTGGTTCCCGCGGCCGCCGCCCGCGCGCGGCGAAACCATGGGCTTGATGTACTCCTCGAGCACGCGCGTCTCCTTCTCGCCGTCGTCGTAGTCGACGTCGAACGTGCCGTCGCCGCGATCTCGGGAGATGCGGCCGGGGTAGTATTTCGACCGCCCCCGGTACCGCGCCTCGACCTTGGCGCCCTCGCGCAGGCGACCACGCGCGGGACTGCTATCGCGGCCTCCGACTTCCTTGATGTACTCTTCCACGACGCGCGTCTCCTTTTCTCCGTCGTCGTAATCGACGTCGAAGGTGCCGTCGCCTCTGTCCCGCGCGATGCGGCCGGGGCAGTACTTCGACCGCCCCCGGTAGCGCGCCTCGACCTTGGCGCCCTCGCGCAGGCGACCTCGGCGCGGGCTGTCGCCGCCGCCGCCCGCGGCCTTGATGTACTCCTCGAGCACGCGCGTCTCCTTCTCGCCGTCGTCGTAATCGACGTCGAACGTGCCATCACCGCGGTCGCGCGAGATCTTGCCCGGGTAGAACTTCGATCGGCCGCGGTACCGCGCCTCGACCTTGGCGCCCTCGCGCAGCCGGCCTCGGCTCGAGGAGCCGCGATCGTCGTCCGAATCTCCGCCCTTGATGTACTCCTCGAGCACGCGGGTCTCCTTCTCGCCGTCATCGTAGTCGATGTCGAAGGTCCCGTCGCCCCGGTCTCGGGCGATGCGCCCGGGGTAGTATTTCGAGCGGCCCCGGTAGCGCGCCTCAACCTTGGCGCCTTCCCGCAGTCGGCCTCGGCCGCCGGAGCGGCGGTCGTCGTCGGAATCCATGCCCTTGATGTACTCCTCCAATACGCGCGTCTCCTTCTCGCCATCATCGTAGTCGATGTCAAACGTGCCGTCGCCGCGGTCGCGCGAGATCTTGCCCTTGTAGTACTTGGACCGACCGCGGTAGCGAGCTTCGACCTTGGCTCCCTCGCGCAGGCGACCACGCGCAGGACTGCTGTCGCGGCCTCCGACGGCCTTGATGTACTCCTCGAGGACCCGCGTCTCCTTCTCGCCGTCGTCGTAGTCGATGTCGAAGGTGCCGTCGCCTCGGTCGCGCGAAATCTTGCCCGGGTAGAACTTGGACCGGCCGCGGTACCGCGCCTCGACCTTGGCGCCCTCGCGCAGCCGGCCGCGGCTCGGGCTCGGGCTCCGGCTCCCGCCGCCGCCGAGAGCTTTGATGTACTCCTCGAGCACGCGCGTCTCCTTCTCGCCGTCGTCGTAGTCGATGTCGAAGGTCCCGTCGCCGCGATCCCGAGAGATCTTGCCCTTGTAGTACTTCGACCGGCCGCGGTAGCGAGCCTCGACTTTCGCGCCCTCGCGCAGGCGGCCGCGGCTCGAGGAGGAGCCGCCGAGCTTGCGGATGAGCTTCTCCTCGACTCGCGTCTCGCGCTCGCCGTCGTCGTATGCAATATCGAAGGTGCCGTCGCCGCGGTCGCGCGAGATCTTCCCGGGGTAGTATTTCTCGCGGCCGCGGTAGCGCGCCTCGACCTTGTCGCCCTCGCCGAGGCTGCCTCCGGAGCGCCGGTCGTCGTCGTCAGAGTCCAAGCCCTTGATGTACTCCTCGAGCACGCGCGTCTCCTTCTCGCCGTCGTCGTAGTCGATGTCAAAGGTCCCGTCGCCGCGATCCCGCGCGATACGGCCCTTGTAGTACTTCGACCGGCCGCGGTAGCGAGCCTCGACTTTCGCGCCCTCGCGCAGGCGGCCGCGGCTCGAGGAGGAGCCGCCGAGCTTGCGGATGAGCTTCTCCTCGACTCGCGTCTCGCGCTCGCCGTCGTCGTATGCAATATCGAAGGTGCCGTCGCCGCGGTCGCGCGAGATCTTCCCGGGGTAGTATTTCTCGCGGCCGCGGTAGCGCGCCTCGACCTTGTCGCCCTCGCCGAGGCTGCCTCCGGAGCGCCGGTCGTCGTCGTCAGAGTCCAAGCCCTTGATGTACTCCTCGAGCACGCGCGTCTCCTTCTCGCCGTCGTCGTAGTCGATGTCAAAGGTCCCGTCGCCGCGATCCCGCGCGATACGGCCCTTGCAGTACTTGGACCGGCCGCGGTAGCGAGCTTCGACCTTGGCGCCCTCGCGCAGCCGGCCGCGGCTACCGCTAGAGCCACCCGTCGACTTGATGTACTCCTCCAACACGCGCGTCTCTTTCTCGCCGTCGTCGTAGTCGACATCAAAGGTGCCATCGCCGCGGACGCGGGCGATCTTCCCGGGGTAGTACTTGGACCGGCCCCGGTAGCGCGCCTCGACCTTGTCTCCGACGTCGAGCTTGCCGCCGCCGCGCCGGTCGTCGTCCGAGTCCGAATCCATGCCCTTGATGTACTCCTCCAAGACCCGGGTCTCCTTCTCGCCATCATCGTAGTCGATGTCAAACGTGCCGTCGCCGCGGTCCCGAGAGATCTTGCCCTTGTAGTACTTGGACCGGCCGCGGTAGCGAGCTTCCACCTTCGCGCCCTCGCGCAGGCGCCCGCGCCGAGACGAGCTCCCGCGGGCCGGGCTCGGGCTTCGGTCGCGGCCTCCGACGGCCTTGATGTACTCCTCGAGGACCCGCGTCTCCTTCTCGCCGTCGTCGTAGTCGATGTCGAACGTGCCGTCGCCGCGGTCGCGCGAAATCTTGCCCGGGTAGAACTTGGACCGGCCGCGGTACCGCGCCTCGACCTTGGCGCCCTCGCGCAGCCGGCCGCGGCTCGGGCTCGGGCTCCGGCTGCCGCCGCCGCCGAGAGCTTTGATGTACTCCTCGAGCACGCGCGTTTCTTTTTCGCCGTCGTCGTAGTCGATGTCGAAGGTCCCGTCGCCGCGAGCCCGAGAGATCTTGCCCTTGTAGTACTTCGACCGGCCGCGGTAGCGAGCCTCGACTTTCGCGCCCTCGCGCAGGCGGGCGCGGCTGGAAGAGCCGCCACCCATGGACTTGATGTATTCCTTGTCG